GACCTTGTGTTTATATACACTTCTTGCCCAACGCTTAAAAATGCTTTTACCATTTGCGCATGTGTTTGATTTGTTGATTGATTTTCCTAAAATCTTGGCTTACCATTTGTGTATAACAATGTTCTATTTTTTTACTTCCCCGTTAGGAAAGTACACCCAAATCCACAAAACAGATTGGTTGTATATTGATTTTCTTAGGATTTTTTCCATACAAAAATCGTATAGGAGATCTTCTTGCCCCTTTTACCTTATTACTTAATTTGATTACATTTGAACAAACTAGATTAGATTAGAAAGGGAACATTTCATCTGCAATTTTCTTCTCTACTATGTATAAATATTGATAAACTTTATGCCCAATTTAAGAATGGTCAAAGTAATCCTATACCATGCATTTTCGTCAATTTAATTTATATATTGAAAATCTGATCAATTCAGTCTTGATTTTAGGAATTGGAACAATTTAGTTCTTTTTTTTGGCACCATACAAAAATTGTATAGGAGATCTTCTTGCCCCTTTTACCTTATTATTTAATTTGATTACATTTGAACAAACTAGATTACATTAGAAAGGGAACATTTCATCTGCAATTTTCTTCTCTACTATGTATAAATATTTTGATAAACTTTATGCAATTTAAGAATGGTCAAAGTATCCTATACCCATGCATTTTCGTCAATTTAATTTATATATTGAAAATCTGATCAATTCATTCTCGATTTTAGGAATTGGAACAATTTAGTTCTTTTTTTGGGCACCGTCCAATTTTGCTGTTAGAAATAATGAAGTCATTGCTAACTTTAATGGCGGAGTTAGGATTCATGTTTGGAGGTTCAAAGATAATGTATATAAAACAATTATAGTAGAAATTCAATTTACATCAATTTAGCTCTACTGAGGTATGCCAAACACTCAAACTCTTAAATTTTGGAGTAGTTGCAAATTTCATCGTTGAATTTTGATTAATTCAAATGTTTTAAGTGTAATTGTTTATAGTGAAAAGTGCAAATATAAGAATTAACAATTAAATTGGGCTACACAAGTTATATGATTCAAGCTAATCAAAGATTGACCAATGGTCTTTTTGCTTAGATGTTTTTAATTTCTTAGATAATTTATGCAAATATCAATTGTCTCTACATCCCCAAAATTTATATCCAAAGAAAGATTGTCTTGTAATAATAAAAAAAAATGTGAAAACATTTAAATAATAAGAACATATTATTAATGATCATATAGTAATTCATAAATTGTCTGAAGTAAGAGAGTAATATAAGGACATGCAAGGCGGCTTATGGGGTGCAAACTCTCTCGCAGTCTTCTTTTGAAGCATAGCATCCGGTGTTGTCCGTTACACACAACCATTTGCGTTTGAGAATACTACCACATACACGAGCGCAAGGTCCTAATGTTATTTTGACTCCTTCCATCTCTTCGTCTGCCGCCCGGCTCAAATTGAACTCCTTGGTAACCATGTCTCTGCTGCCTGTTTCATGTTAAAAAAAAATAAAACCAGGCATATATATAATGAGTAAACGAGCAATCAAACAATCAAAGTTTTGATATATGGCTTACGAACATTCATGGAGCACGAGAAGAGAGGTCAACACAAGAACAAGTACAGCCAAACGAGCTGCCATGGTATAGCAAGCTAGGTATAGAGATGGATCATAATACAAAGGTAGACCTTGTGTTTATATACACTTCTTGCTCAAGGCTTAAAAATGCTTTTACCATTTGTGCATGTGTTTGATTTTTTTGATTGATTTTCCTAAAATCTTGGCTTACCATTTGTGTGTAACAATGTTCTATTTTTGTACTTCCCCGTTAGGAAAGTACACCCAAATCCACAAAACAGATTGGTTGTTTATTGATTTTCCATACTAATATTGTATATGAGATCTTGCCTCTTTGACCTTCTTGCTTAATTTGATTATATTTGAACAAATTAAATAGATTAAAAAGGGAACATTTCATCTGCAATTTTCTTTTCTATATAAATATTTTGATAAACTTTATACAAGTTAAGAATATGATCAAGTGATTGTAATATAATAATTATAAGTGATATTTGGGGACACTTTTTTTTTTACTATTGTTGATGACTTTAAAAAATTTACTGGGACATTTTTAGTGAAATTTAAATCAGAAGTAGCATAATTCCTTCGTTTGATAATACAATATACAATCAATTTGACACTAGTATTAAGATTATGAGATTAAGAGTAAATTTCAATAATTTTTCTTCAAATATGACCCACAAACTTTTTACATAACATCAAGTATCAATTTAATCCCCATAATTTCAATTTATATCAATTAAGCTTTCCTGATGTATGTCAAACACTTACTCTAAATCTTTAGAGTATTAGTTTTGATAGTGAAAATTGTAAATATAAGAATTTCTTTTGACAAGCATAAATATAAGAATTTAACAATTACATCAGTCCATATGTACTAAGGTGTGGATTTTAGCTTTCTATGTAATTACTTGATCTATATGGTTGGTTCATAATGAGGTCATTTTTAATAGAAAAATTTGAGAAGTAGTACAACTTTATGATTTAATTAAGCTAGGAGTTGCTTTATGGAGTAAAGCTAAATGGTTAGAATTGGTTGAGTTTGTAGAACACATCTTCAGAAATCCATAATTTGTCTATACGGTACGAAATACGAAGAAAATCAGCAAAGAGATAGAGTAGCAAGCCCCACAAATAGGTTGGGAGAAATTCAATTGGAGCATTAGTGGGAAATCCTGGATCATTAGGATTTGGTTGCGTGTTCAAAGATCATGATGGTAGTGTGTTTTTGAAATTCTCAAGAGCCATAGGTGAAGGGGAACTCAAATCTTGCTGAAATTTTGGCTATTAGGGAAGCATTTAAATATTCACTGATATTATGGGATATCAGTATTCCAAACTCTAGGTAGAAAATGATTCCATGAATGTAGTAAAGTGGGTGAATTCTTAATTCAAATAAAAAAGGCTACAGAAGGACATACACGACTGGAAAGTAACACATATTTTGAAGGACGGAAATAGTAAAGCAGACAAATTAGTTAAGGAAGCAGTATCAAGGGCACGCGGGAATATAAGTGGATTAGGACTCAAGAAGTTGAATTTTAATCTGATTTAGGTGTTGTATGTGGATGGGGAAAGTCGAATGTTAGACTTTGAGTTAGATAATAACTCAAGGTGGAAATCAATGAATCAAATACTTGTGTGCATATTTAAGATTTTTAATTATTAATGTATTTCTTTCTTTCATTCTCTCGTAAATAATCCAAAGCTCTTATTAGTTTGACAATTAGTAGTAAAATTTCATATTTAGAAAAAAAAAACAATTACATCAGACCACACAAGTTAAATAATTCAAGCTAATTACCTAACCCGTTGCTCATGTGATTAATTAAACAGACTTTTGGAATTAGACAAATCAAATATGCATTAGAGATAAAACAAAAACCTTATATTATAATCATGCATGTTATCCCAACACTAACATGGATGCAATTATACCAAAGAACAATCAAAGATTGACCAATCGGCTTTTTGCTTAAATGTTTTTTAATTTTTTAGATAATTTATGCAAATATCAACTACCTCTGCATCTTCAAAATTTATTCTCCGCAACAAGATTGTCTTACAATAATAAAGAAGAAACTGGGGAAGCATATAATCATAAAATCTTTGAAAGAAGAAATAAGGCCATGCAAGGTGGATTCTGGAGATGTTGCTAAGCAGCTGGTTTGGGCAAAAGTCATTGCAATCTTCTCCGTAACATAGCAGTGGTCAGTTGTTATGCACAACCATTTCTGCCCCTCAATATTGCATTTTTCAGTGCAAGGTGATACGTTTAATTTGACTCCCATCTCTTCTTCTGCCGCCCTGCCCAAATTGAACTCCTTGGCAACCATGTCTCTGCTACCTGTTTCATGTAAAAAAAAAAAACACATAAATTTCAAGAGTAAATGAGCAATCAAACAATTAAAAATTCGATGTATGGTTGACGAACATTCATGGAGCACGAGAAGAGAGGTCAACACAAGGACAAGTATAGCCAAACGAGCTGCCATGGTATAGTAAGCTGGGTATCGTGATAGATCATGATACAAAGGTAGATGTTGTGTTTATATATACTTCATGCTCAAGGCTTAAAAATGCTCTTACCATTTGTGTATGTGTTTGATTTTTTCACTTGATTTTCTTAAACTCTTGACTTACCATTTGTGTGTAACAATGTTTTATTTTTGTACTTCCTTGTAAGGAAAGTATATCCAAATCCACCAAACAGAATAATTGTATATGATTTTCTTAGGATTTGATTCCATACTAATATTGTATATGAGATCTTCTTGCCTTTTTTACCTTTTTACCTTTTTTTTTTTCACTTGATTTTCCTAAAATAATAAGTTACCATTTCTGTAAAACAAGGTTCCATTTTTGCACTTACTTAAGAAAGAATCTTCCTCCTTAAAAAAGTACATTTAGGTCTGCAAAGCAGATTGGTTATATATGATTTTCTTAGGATTTTTTTCCATGCTAATATTGTATATGACATCTTCTTGCCCTTTTACCTTCTTACTTAATTTGATTATATTTGATGAAACTTGATACTTTTTCTTTTAAGTGCTTTGATCTGCAGCACTAGGTTCCGTAGCTTCCATGGAGAGACGATTGGGTTAGTCACCCACATGACTGCCATTTTTGAGTTACTTTCGATTATGACCACACACGTTAATGCCAACGAGGATGCAGCAAACAACATCATAGCCTCATGAATGGCCATGACTTCCGCTAGTTTAGATCATCCCAGCTAGTACATTTTGAGAAAACCATCTTAATAGCTCTTTTTTCATCATGTAGAACTCCACCGATTCCCAATTGTCCCGACAACCCGTAGCTGCCCCAGCCTCATCCGTATTGAATTTAAACCATCTCCTAGGTGGGCACTCCCTGAAACATTTGCCTTGGTTTGTACCCTTTTAATATGTGCACATGCTGGTAAAAGAGACCTAACAATCTCCATAATGGAAAGATTATCGTTTGGCCATCTTGACTTAACCCACCAACCCATCATAATTTTAATGAGTTCTTCCAATTCTAACACATCCCAAGGCTTGCCCTCAAACACAATTTCATTTCTAAAGGGCCACAGGGACCAAACTATGGTCAAGAAAGACATCCTCCACACTTTTCTTTTAGCCACCTTCATAGGGCAAGTGTTCCATGCCACAAAGAATGACGTAGCATCACCAAGAATACACCAAGAGATACCCCACTCCGCAAGCCACCAGCTCCACACCCGCTAAGCTTCAGAGCAAGTGAAAAAGAGATGGGTCACAGGTTCTACTCCCCTATTACATAGAAGGCACACAACTGCATCTCTTTGCGTTAGATTCCTTTTACCAGCTCTTTTTTATCTGGTACTTTACCTCTAATAACTTGCCACACACAGACCTCAACTTTTGGTGGAGCAAACCCTGTCCAAACATTCCTCGATAAATCAACGGTGGACTCATTATTGTCTAAAATTGATCTGCAAAAGGAATTTGTAGAATAGCAACCACTTGGAGTATGTTCCCATATCAATTTGTCATTAAAATCACAGTCAAGACGTATGCGTTGGAGGCACTCTTTGAATTGCTCCCAAATATCCACCTCCCAATCAAACACCATTCTCTTAATAACCACATTCCATTGCCATTCATGGTTCACCCATGATCCAAACTCCTTAATTTACTGGTTTTATTCATAGCCAAAGCATAAATATGAGGAAAGCCACTCAAAGTATCGTATCTTGAATCCATTCATCCTCCCAAAAAGTAGATACTAGCTCCATTTCCAACCATCAGAACGGCTCATATAAGTTTAAAGGTTTAAAGCTAAATATTCAAATGAGATTTTTTTTATTGAAATTAAAAAAAGCAAATGAACAAAAAAGAATTTATAAATAAAGATTATAAATTGAAAAAAGAATTGATTTTATATGTAAAAAAAAAATAGTTGTTGGATATCATTGAATACATATTATCCTTAGTTGATTGAGAATAGGAGAAATAGTTGAAAAATTAATAATATTGTGGGTATTGGAAAAGGATAAAAAATTGAAATATATTAGGTAGAAAAATAAGAAAATATGTCATTTTATTAATTATTTTAATTTTTACATATTTTTAATAAAAAATGAAAAAAATAGTTGAGAATTAATAGGGATGTGGAAGTGAGAAAAAAGAGATATTTATTAGACATGAAAGAATGGATAGATAGTTTATTAATTATCTTAATTTTTTATATTTTTAATATAATTAATTATATTATTATTAAAAAATTATAAAAGCTTTCCAAATTTGGGGCTAAAACCTTTCCTTTGGTGGATTTACCCACCAGTTACTGTCAACTATAAAGCAAATACTTACACAAAAAAGAAGATAAACAATCCAAAGAGATTAGTGAACGAATAACATTCCTTTACACAGAAGATGCACTCCTCCCACTCAGGTCATAAGGAACAAGACCAATAGTGTCCCCTTCATTTTTAGCATTAATAACCCTATGCTATAAGCTCTCTCTCTCTCTCCCATCACTGTATCTTTAAATCTATTTATTCAGTAGAACTCTATTTTTCAATTGAAGATATCTCCATATCTATTTATTTAGCAGAGCTCTAATTTTCAAGTAAAGATCAATAAACCAAGTTCCCTACCTTCCTCATAATTGCACACTGTATCCCAATCAACCCAATGAACTCATCTCTTTTCAGTTGAACCACTCCACAAGAATCGTTTCTGGATCCTATCAAGTTCTTCCTTTACTCCACTAGGCATTTCAAATAGGGGCATGTAGAAAACTGATAAGCTTGCTGGAACTACTATAATCAACTTTGCCCTCCCTCCAATTGACAAGAGGTCAAATTTCCAACCTGCCAATATACTCTTAGAGTGATTTCTAGCCCCCAAATGATTTATCCAAATAAGTAGTCGAAAATGCACCAACCAAAAGCCACCTTTCCACTCCTTCCCCTACCCAGATGCCATACAACCTCCTCTTCCAAAAATTGATCTTAATTGGGTATATAAAATTACATTAAGTAATTATAATTATCAACAATTTTCAAAGCAAGATTAACAGTGCTAATGTCAAAAAAAAAAATTATAAAACTATTGACCAATGGATGCAATTATATTATAATCATGCATATTAACACAACTGGAACATGGATGCAATCATACATAAAAGAATAATCAAAGATTGACCCATTGGCTTCGTGCGTAAATGTTTTTAATTTTTTTTAGATAATTCATGCAGATATCAACTGCCTCTACATCTCCAAAATATATTCTCCAAAACAAGAATGGCTTATAATAATAAAAACGATTTATTAAAGATATAATTATTTTGTAAATTGTCTGTAATCATAAAATCACTGAGAGAACAAAGGGAGTAATAAGGCCATGCGAGGCGATTTATGGAGATGCTAAAGCGGAGGTGATGTGGGGCAATTACTCAAGCATTCTTCTTCTGTACCATAGCATCGATTGGCTGTTACGCACTTCCATACAAACTCGATGCTACTGCATCTAGGGGCGCAAGGCGTTACTGTTAATTTGACTCCTTCCATCTCCTCTTCTGCAGCCTTGCCCAAATTGAACTCCTTGGCAATCATGTCTCTGCTACCTGTCTCATGTAAAAAAAAGAAAAAGGCGTATATTTCTTGAGTAAATGAGCAATCAAACAATCAAAGGTCCGATGTATGGCTTACGAACATTCATGAAGAACGAGAAGAGAGATCAACACAAAGACAAGTATAGCCAAACGAGCTGCCATGGTATAGTAAGCTAGATATAGTGATGAATCACCATACAAAAGAAGATCTTGTGTTTATATATACTTCATGTTCAAGACTTAAAAAATGCTTTTACGGGGTGCCTGTGTGTTTGATTTTTCCACTTGAGTTTCTTAGAATCATGATTTACCATTTGTGTGTAATAATGTTCCATCTTTGTACTGTCCTATTAGAAAAGTATAATCAGATGCATTAAAGAGATGATTATGTATTCCATTTTTGTACTTTCCTATTAAAGAGATGGTTATGGATGATATTGTTAGAATTTTTTTCCTTACTAATATTGTACATGAGAACTCTTGCCCCTTTTACTTTCTTATTTAATTTGATTATATTTGAAGAAATAAGATTAAAGGGGAATATTTCACCTGCAACTTTTTTACTACAATCCTATAATTATCTAATCATAACAAAAATTCTGTTAAACTCTAATATTTATAAATAAAATCCATATAATATTTTGATCAAATTTATATAATTTAAGAATGTTATTGCTTAATTGTAATAAAATAATTATAAATGATATGCTCCCATTAAAAAAAAAGTAAGAACAAAATCTTTTCTACTCCATCAAACTCCAAAATACAAGACCAAATTATTAGCCCAAAAATAATTTGATTTTATGAGAACATGTCATGAAGTCATTTAAAATCATTAAGATATTGGCATTGTAAACAAAATGCTTGGACTTTGGAATAAAATGGAGAAATAAAAAGAATAAACAAAAAAAAATAAAATAAAACCAAAAATGGAGGATGTCCAATACGTTTCATATTTGAGTTAATGTGGCAGCTGATGTAGAGACAATGGAACATCCTACAGCCGACCTCTGATATTTTATCAAAATTGAAACTACATCAGATGCAACAGGCAAGACAATAAAATCTCTGGCAAATCCTTTCATATAAATATCAGCCTGATCAGAAAATTCATACCTAAGGGGCATCAAAACAAAAGCCCTTGTCTTCAATCACTGTAATTGCTTCACATTAAATAATTTTTTAAATTCTCAAGAGAAAAAAGAACCTAGCATTTTCCAGCTAGAAGGCAATGGAAAGTGGATGAGTTTGTACAGAACCACTGGTAAAAATCCTTCACACCCTTTTCGGCTTCTTTGAACCACTTTCTTTCTTATCCTCTGCACCCTTTTTCCTGTCCTTCCTCTCCCTCTTCTTCAAAGCAGTCATACGGGCCTTAAGAATGGTGGCATAAGAAGCTTGAAAGCGCTGGTGATCCTTCGCTCCAACCTTCCCAACAGAAAGGCATTAATTTAAGGTCAGTATGGCTAAACAAGGATAGATTGACTTCCACAAGAACAAATAGACTACTTTTGCTCCATACTAGACAACAAATTGCTCTTTCCAAGTAAAAACCTCCATGTTAATGCTATTAAGGAATCACTTTCGTCTGTGTTTTTGTATTCTTTATTTTTTAAAATTTTCACATATACAAATCTTTCTATACATCACAAAATAACATTTCATGCCAAATTTTAAGTTTCTAGGCAAAAAAGAAAAGAAAACTATACAATTAAGGGTCCATCTACTATAATGGTCTGTCATTCTTTGGTGGGATGATGAAAACTTCTAAGCCACAGATTTCTAATGTTTCAAGTTGGTTACTTCCTCGGCAGTTACAACCTAAGGCAGCTAAGGAATTGGAATGCAACTTAGTTGCCTCCGGAAGGCTCACATTTTTATTTGACTAATCACATTCTGTTAACTTCAAGTTTTGGGCATATAAAATTACATTAAGCAATTATAATTATCAACAATTTTCAAAGCAAGATTAACAGTACTAATGTCAAAAGAAAATTTATAAAACTATTGTAAGGCTAATTCTACTTATATTTATTTAAATAAGTGGTATAGATGCGGGTGTTCTCACGGATAAAAAAAATACAAAAGAAAGTCAATTGATAAATTTATCACTGCAGCAAAGAAAATAACTTTTTACTAGTAGCATATTATTTTATAAATAGAAGATCAATTTTGAAGATATCCTATCTTAACTATTATTTAAAAATAAGTAAAAAAATAATTAAAATAGCTATAATTCATCTTAGGGGCCAAAATTTAGGTTTTCGTGGTTGGCGCGTGGGAGGAATATTTGCTTTGCTTTCAGTTACATACCTGGCTTAGGTCCTAACTGGCTAGGGGAGTTGGCTGGTTGAAGCTAATTGTTTATGTGGCTTAGATGTACCCATCATCCCATCAATAAATGGCCAACCACCATGAAACAATTTTCCGACGATTAATGAAGCTATTAAATGGAAGAAATTAGGCATGAAGTTAGGCCCCTGCTGATGGATGGGATAAAAGCATATCTTTGCATTTAGCTAGTGTAAGCCAAAAATCTTTCATCATATTGCATTGATGCATGAGATTAAAACCCTCTGAAACTCCAAAACCTCATGCCCAACATCCTTTCAACACAGAAAATGAGTATCAGTTATTAAGATAAAAAGCTTTGGAGCCTACCTGATTTTGCCCTACGTAGGGGCATATAAAAAGGAGTCAGTTTTTCCAATTTAGACTTCTAGTAAGATCACATTTCTTATAAATTGCACATAAATTCAACTCGATGCTTTTTTGTTACAAGCTAGCTGGTAAAAAGCTACTTTTGAGTTTGCCTATACAGCTTTTCCCTCTAAGGTTCAAGTTCTTCCCTTCCTAAAATGATAAAAAGATATGGTTTTCGGCATAATCATATCCAAGCAATCAAGGGTGCTATATAATTCATCATACCAGAATTACACAGCTCCAGCCAGAGTTTCCAATGGACCATTGCTACTCTTCCATGGAAATCACATTAGGTTTATGCTACATATAACAACAAGTGACTAATATTTAAGAGCAGTTCTACATACTCAACCAATGTATCCATCCCACCAGGCAAATGTTTTATTAAAAACATTTGATCCATAGCAAAAACTATTGTACTAATTATGAGAACAAATAAGAAATAGCGAATCATATAAGGAAAATAGGGAATACCGAAGTGGAAATTGTCTTTTTGCCATCAGTTGCACGAACAAGGCATCGATATTCAATGGGTTGTCCAGCAGTCTTCATTTTGTTCTTTTGCACCTTAGACTTCAAGGATGCTATCAAACAGGAAAATTAAAAGCATTAATGAAAATCCTATATACAACACCTCCCAACAAAACAATAAAAAGGAAACGAAAGAAGTTGGCGAAATAGCGAAATGCTTACATCGTTTAAGAGTAACCCAAACAGAGCCTGTCTCAGAGTTGCGCTCAAACATGCTTGTAAGTTCATTAAGAAACGGGTCTGGTTGAAGAAGAACCTTAAAGCAAAACGAAAATCAAATATGAAAATCGGCACAAAAAAATAATCATATTAATAAGATCAAATGCCCCAGAGAAAGAAACGAACATCAACAACAAATCCAATTATAATAAATGAAAACCCAAAACATAATATATATATATATATAAAGAAAAAATCAATCAAAATTCCAACGTAAAGCCCAAGAGCTTTTTCTTAAGTTTTTTGTAATTCCTTATTATTTGAATTGAATTTTGGAGAAAAAGAGAAAGAATAAATAACAGAAAGAATTGAAAAAAAAGGGGGATCACGAGTTACCATTTGATTGAGATCCAGATGCCAAAAGAGAGAAAACCTAAAATGGCAGCGGTGGGTGGGTAAAGAGAACCCGCTAACGGCAGCGAGAGAAGAATTGACTACACTCTACACCTCCTTTTTCAATCCAAAGCTCAATACGTACCCCTTACCTATGGTGATATTTCCCTCTTTTTTCTTTTTTTTTTTCAGATGTTTTTCTGGGCTGGTTCAAAGTTAAATTGGGCTGAAAGCAAACAACACTTATTTGGACTGATTTGCTATCGAGGCTGGCCCAATTTTTGTTTTCTTTTTTCGCTGGAGTTGTATATTTATTTTTTCTTTTTTTTATTTGTCTCCTAATTTTTTTTTTAAATATTGTATGTGTTTATTTATTTATTTATTTATTATCATGATTTTGTGCATGTAAGAAATAGTGCTCTGGCTATCATCTCCTAAAAGGATTAATGGTACTCTTGCTTCTTGACAGACAGGGGATGAAGGATGAGAGAACCTCAAAATCCTTTTTGCCCTTTTTCTTCTTTCAGCCTCTACAATCAAATATGTTTGGATTTGGGTGTCTATTGATTTTTGTTGATCTGTTCTTGAAATCATCTTGCTTTTTGACCTTTTAAACCCAGCCCTATGAATTTTTTTATATTGAATGTACAACCAGCACTTTCCCACCATTTTTTTTTTTTGCTAATTCATTTATATGAAAGTATCAAAATAATAAACCTGATAAATCCAGCATTCTTAGGTTTAAATATAAAGAAAATAGGTCTGACTTCAAAATTCAACCAAATGTTCACACATTAGGAACATAATTTGTCAAAGTGGTGTAGATATTGCTCAATTTGGTTCTTGAAGCTTAATGACTGCATCAAACCTAAACGTTTCATCTGGTTCAAACATCTCTTCAAGATCTTCAAAACTTTGCTCAACTCTCAAATCTTTACCAACTGCCAGGCTTTCCTGCAACAAATTAATGAACATAAAATTCAGGCAAAAAACTACAGTCCAAGAGGCAGCCATTAGAAGAGGATCTCATGATTCATTGTGAACATGCAAAAATTACTGTTAATGCTTAAAAAGAAAAGAAAACCTGTGAAGAGCTACTCTCCGTTGACGATGAATTAGATAGTGGCAAATATGCTTTTATAATTCCAGTATCCCATTTTAGTGACATAGATAGATACCTCATAGTCTGGATGTTTGCAGCTGCATTCACTAAGGTGACCACTACAAGACTGATAAAGTCTTTGTTGAAAACTTGTTAATTCATTTTATTCTCATTATCTGATATTCTGAGATGTGGCATGGTCAATTTGGATTGCTCAATGAGATGAAAAGTGCAGCTGTAATTTGCAGAGTCTCAAATCTTCATTTTGCTAAAACAAAAGCGGTTTTCATGGAAAAGACTGAAATTTATCAAATTCAACAATTTGATTGAAAATCCAATTTATGTCCATAATTTTCCAATTGTACCTTGAACATTATGGTCTGTTTCCTAATTCTCTGATGTCTTGATTTAAGTTAACATCAAAACACAAATTCAAATACATTCATAAGGGCTTAATGACTTTTCTATGTGTCTTACACATAAGAGCAATAATTGAGTAAATCTACTCTAACAGTGCTTACCTTTTCAACATATTCAGCTACAGTAGAGTTAATTACTTTTGTGATTACTTGCTTGTAAACTTTTGAAGCTCCAAGGACTTCTAACAAAATGTCCCTTGGTATCTGCCAGACACATTTAAAAAAAATGTAATTGCTATGGCCTCCAAAATTGACAGTGAAAGAAATTATGCACAAGCAGAGAGAGAGAGAGAAAGAGAGAGAGAGAGAGAGAGTTTATGTCTTTATATAGTTACAGAGTTACACAAATATCATCCACGTACATGCTATGAAGAGTGTAAATGTTTCATGAAATGCTAGCATTTTAAAATGCATTATCACATGATTAACAGTGATTGAATGAAGTAATTTAAGGCAGTAGCTGAGCAAAAAAAAAAAAGTTTGAAGGCAGTAAGGTGTTACATTTTAGAACTTACATTTGGTGTTTTTCCTGCCAGGCCCGAAGTTTGTTGTGAGACAAATCAACCAAAGGAGTGGTCATAGGAAAAGTCAGCAATTTATTAAAAAGATGAAAATGAATAAGAAAACTACTACTACTACAATATGCAATGTCAAGCAAATAAGGCAACTCTAATTGCAATGAAAGGCCTTGATTCTAAGTTCCAGATCAATAAGTATATATTTATTTGCATTTCCTTGAGATTTGATTTTCAATGGTGAAATCTCACATTCGCAAACCATTTTCAATCTCATAAGAATAATACCTTATACTGATTTGGGGCTTTTGACTAGTGTATCACTAACTTATAGATGCAATGTTCTAACTGCAGCAAAACAAATAAAAAGTATACAAGACAACTACAACCCGATGGAAGAACAATGCTTTAGGAAGAACATCAAGTGACAAGATCAACAATATCATTGGATTAATGATAGCCAACTATTGTCTTCGCTAATGGGAGAACAATGATAACGTCAGTACAGAAGAGCATAAGGAACAAAGACACATTAGACAAGTTCCTAACAGCAATTGCCATATATGTAAGATACAAGGTGCTCTTCCATGCTAACCAGATGCAATCTAGTGAATTTTCAACAAAAGAAACTTGAGTAACATGAAGACACATTTAGAAAACTTAGAAATAAAACAGCACCTCCTTTTACTCTTCGAAATCCTGGGATTGGCTGCGCTGCAGCAACCATTTTGTCAAATACATCATCAAAAATTGCTCGAGTTTTGGCTCCTGATACCTCCACACTTATCTGGTTCAAGAAAGTTAGGCAATAGCTTTGGTTAATACTCATAGCCATACCAACTGCCTTTTGATGTCAGCATAAAAAGTTCTCTAATATCCAACAAAAGCAGAAGGCATTTCTTTGTTTGATTACTCTGTTTTACTTTCAACTTGAAACTTCATTTTCTATTACATATTACCCCAACATATAAAATATTTCGTACCTTTAGCTCTCTGTTCTCATCAGTACTGGCAGTAGTAACAGTGAAGTCTTCAAACTGAGAAGAAACTCCAACATCTTCCACATCTAATCAAGTTGAATAAATATAAAAAAAAAATCTAAATTAGCATGAGGAAATACATAAAAAAAAAAAAAAGGTAGTACGGCTAGAAAGAGAATTTATCAGCTTCAGTACCTGATGATACAGCATGAACAGTAAGAAGACATACATGTCTTTCCCTGAAAAGAAAAGGAATATTGAATTTCAGAAAAGGATAATGCCAACTTTTAGAAGATACTCATTCAATTTGGAGTTTAACACAAGAATTCAAACAGAACACTAATGAACTCAACCACAACGTAAACAATGTTGAAAACAAAGCCCTGTCAACGTCAGCCAGGAATTTAATTAAACCAACAAAGTGCTTATTGAATTGAAACCTAAAAGGGTTTTAATGATTGAGAGTGAGTGAGTCCACTTTGTCTTTCACCTTATACCTTTTCGAACATAGGAAAATTTAAGAAATTTGTAAAACAGAAAAGGGCAAAAACAGATTTCTTCTTTCAAAAGAGTAGATGTCAAATATACAACTATGGATTAAAACTTTTTATGGCTATATCCACTAATTGCTAATAACAAAAAAGAATTATGAACTCTCCAATATAGGCAATGAAAGTTCAAATGCTGTAAAGCAAGCTTTATATAGATATGTGATAATTGCAGCATTGAGCATACCATTAACACTAGAGTCACAAAATCCACATATGATGTTTGCTTTGGACATGACTAATCAAATTATAAACAGTCAAAATAAGCTATTTTCCCAAAACAATGTGAAAAGCTAGATATTCTTTTTGCTCAGAGAATGTCCAGATATTGATAATCTTAGGTGCTATATTTTACAAAGTCTCTAAGAATTTTAAATACAAGACATAAATACATATTTTTCCCTAACCCAAGTTATCAATTTGGGAGCAGTTTTTTGAGTATCATCGCAACTAAAACAAGGTGAAGGAAGACATTTTTCTGGAGGAAATAGATTTCGGATAACAAGCTTAATTTTTAAATTAGGTTAAACTTAGCAGTGAAATGCAAGTACCTTCCCTGATATTTTAGAGCCCTGTATCCTTTTTGAGGAGGAAAACATGCTCTGTTGCAAGAAAGATTAGAACTAAAGACATCCTCTACTTGTTTATAGCTAATAATCTGCACAAACCAAAGAAAAAAGGTGATTCCTTAAGTTGTTATGTGATCATGCTAAGGTCTACTAATGTAAAGAATGGAAAAGGATTCAGGCCAACCCATCCGATCAATATTTTGCATATAAGAGATTTACACGAGAGTCGAATTCCACTACTGCATTAATGGCAATTGATGCAAATGCGTGTCTGAATAATTCTGGGAGACTTTGCCTTAAACCCAAAATTCTCTTGCTTCTTCACAGAAGGCAAATGACACAGAACCGAGGGATGAAAACAGAGCTAAAGTTCTAATAAGGTCTCTCCTTAAAACTAGAGACCCACAAAGAAGTGATTATCAATAGCAGCAATACGAGTTAGCTCCCTTTCTTTAACAAACTGAAAGCTTAACCAAAAATCAAAAGATTTCTTAGCTGTTGCATGCCAATTGTATGTAAAAATGCTTAACCAAAAAGTCATTTTGCCAGTTGTATTATCAAAAGGAAAATTACCCTCTAACCAGCTTAAACGCAGACAAAACAAAGTACTGCCTAGAGAGGAACTAAAAGAAATAAAGTCCGCTAACTCCATTAACTAACTAAAATTTTAATGAGTTCTCTCTGCAGCTACTTAAACAAGAAGAAAGAAGACCATTATTTTTCCATAAGAAAGTTAGTTCACAAAAGAAACTACAAATGGATAATTTGAAGTAATGGATTAAACATGGAAATGAAATGCATAAAATCAAGAGAAGAATATAGGGAAAAGAGAGTTTACTTAACCTTGGGGTTTAAACTCAACGAAAGGGTCTTTACGGCTATTTCCATTATCCTCTCCTTCTGTTTTGCTTTACTAGTGGCAGGAGGATTGTTGCATTAAAACAAGCAAGGTGCATTTGTCTACTATTTATTGACTGCTCATAGCCTAAACGGTGCGCTTTTCCTTCCCGCCAGCGCCAGGTTCCTTGTACCCTATACGACAGCGTTTCGTACAAAGCGTGATCCATTTTATCTCCTGCTCCATGTCCCTGTTCTCTTGAAAGTAATTTATTTATTTATTTATATATATAATTGAAAAAAGAAACCATTTCCGGTGAACAGAAGAAAGAAAAAAGAAAATGGCGTCGACGAGCTTGACGACAATTTCTTCAAATTTCCAGCATTTCCGTAGTCCTAGAGTAAGAGAGGAAAAAGAAACGTAATCTCACTCTACTTAATGAAATTTTATTTAACTTCTTAGTTAAGTTTTGACTGTTTTATTTAATGGAAGCAGGTCTCTTTTAGTAGCTGCTGCTGCTTTAACCGAAGCTTGAAGTTTCAGGACAACCGGAAAATTCTGAGTCATAGGTTAGTCCCATGTTTTTCTTTCTTTTTTTTTTCATTTTGTTAATCTTATTTAGAAGAATTTTTTTGGCTTTTATGTTGTTAAATTATTGAATTTAATCTTGTAATTAGAGTTGTTGCCTACGTGAGGAAGCCGATATCTGCATTTGCTACAGGTGGATTTGAACTCTTTTTTTTTTTTTCCAATGTTTCAAATTCTATAAATGTCAATTTGTTAATTGAATAAATTGGTGATGGTGGTGATCATGTTATTAGGTTTGGAGGCATCGATTTCCGATGCAGATGACAATGTAATAGCCTTGAAGGATGCTAAGATTGTTGTCAAGTCTAGAGACGAAAATAAGATACAGGTGATGCCCTAAACGTTAAAATTTTTGTTATCAAAATGATATTTTCTATGTCAACGTGACTAATGCTGGTTCAAAACTGCATGAATGGCTCCATTTAAAATAAGAAAATTCAAACACTTGTCTATGAAGTTGCAACTATTTAGAATTGTTGAACATAGTTTTCCCTATTAGTTAGTGAGTTCTGATTCAGCTTTTCCTGACCATGTTCTTCTTGACTAGTCCCCTCCCAAGTGACTTGTTGGCTACAGTTTTGCAGTATGGTTGAAAAGTGTGTATATGAGTTCATTTGAATTTTGAAATGCAAATCTTTTTAATTAAGCACATCTGTGCTCATTGGAAATCGAAGCAGTATCATCTGCGCGCTCATGCTATTTGTAGCAAAATGTTCTTCAGAATGTGGTAATATTAATTGCTGGAACATGCTCAGAAAACTTTTAAAATCCATTTTCTTTTTTAAATGATTGACAGCAATGATCTGAATTTGTTGATTTTGCTGGTTCATCTGCAAATATCTAGTGTTTGTGAGGCAACTCTCATGATGTTTTACTTCCAGATAGAGTGGATGTGAGTGGGATTGAGACACAAAAGGTATTTGATAAGGTTTTGTCAGATTTGGCAGGACAAGCGTCACCAATTCGTGGATTTCGTAGACAAAAGGGAGGTAATTCATTGATGCAATCATACATTAAATTCTTATTCATTGTAATTCAGTTGAAGTTTTGATTGAATTAGCCTAGAATAATAAAGAAACGGTAATATTGTTTATTTGTAACTTCTTGATGGACTTAGAACTTATGACTACTGTGAGCTAGAGTTTAATGATGACTTTTAGTAATTCCTGACATTACAAATTGGTGACTTAATTTATATATGGGAGTGCCTTAATTTTTTTCCCTTTGAGCCTCAGGTGATAAAATAGCACTAGTGCCTTTGTGACTTTCACAAATCTGCATCTATATTTTTTTAAATTATGCGCCATTTAATGGTTTAAGGATGACAGTAAAGGGCTTAATATTTTGATAGGATCATCAAGTTAATTGTCATGGCTAGATTTTGAATTATATGTTGCTGCTAATGCTTGTTTAGTTGCAGGATATTAATTTCCTATTATGATGGTACCTACCATTTCCCATTTGTTCACAAATTTGCTGATTTATGTGATTTCAAAAGCCAACCTTTAATTCTGACTTCATTATATGTTCTATCTGGGGCTATTGCAGGGAAAACAGCAAAGGTGAGTGACTTCTAATTTTAAAGTTTTCCAGATTTGTCATTTGACCTTGCTGTTGCTCATCATGTTCAGTCAGTAAGTTAGTTTTGTATCTCCAATGTTTGTTTCCTTCAATCATCTATTTGTGCTTGGCATGACATGTTGCTTGATACAAAATGGAATTAGTTCTGCCAAACCTTCTAATAATTTAGTTCATATAATAGAGGATGTTAAGATATTTTGTAGCCATTGAATGTTATAGTTTGTAGACTTTTTTCTTTCTTTATTTTTTCATATTTTTTTTCTAAATGGAGTTTGGAGAAGGAATTTAAATTTGAGATCCCCGTTGCAGGAAAGGGATGTCATTGCCATTGAGGGACTCACAACGCCAATTTTAGGTAAACTAAAGGTATAATTTAGCTAATCTTTTTATATTGGAAATTCTAATGAGATTTTAATTTTACTCTTTATATTTAGCTGTTAGAATTTTAAACAAATCCCCTTTTTTTCTTTCAGAAAGAGAAGAATGGGGAGTGAGAATGTAATGGCATTTATTTTTCTAATGTGCTCTCGTTATCTGAAGAAAGAAAGAGACATATTTAAGGAAAGTAAGGCGGATACATGGTATTTAAGATGTTAAAGAAAGACCAAGTTGTTGAAAGACTAAACTTGGATTCTAATGTATAAGTAGTAGAAACGTTGAGAAAAGCAGTTTCAGAAGCACAAATGAAAAAATTTGAATATAAACTCTATCCTAATTCATAAATCAAAGAAATGATTGATATATTGTTCTTTTTCATGATTCCTTAGTATCTTTTAGATTTATTCATTCTTTAGATCATTTGGGTATCGGTCTAGATAATTTCAAGTCTAAGTCATTTTGATATCTGATCATATTAGGTCGGATAACTTGAGTGTCAGTCATTTTGGATTTAAGTCATTTGGGCCTTCATATTACTATGTTTGGGTCAATTTAGGTTTAGTGATCACTTCAGGCTTTGAGTTACTTGGACTAGGGTTGTTGACTTTGTAAGTCAAATTTGGTTGCATTTTGGACAAACACTCAAGTTTGGTCAGCTTTTGTTTGTTCTATTATTGTTTCAAATTTTTTGTACTTTATTATTATTTTAAGAACTTTATGACTTATGAAACATTAATGCTTAATCTTGGAACAAAGGATTGAGAGATTGAATTTGGATTTAGTTTGCCATGCACATTGTGACAATAAAGATGGCCGATGGTGGTGGAAAATTAAGTAAAAGTTAATATGTCTATATATTTGAGATGTTATTGGAAAATAAATTTTTAAATTTATACCTAATAGACAGCTAGCAAATTCATATATTTGTGTGAAAGAATAAAGTATTTATGAGTTAAAACGATAATCAAAATGTATTTGGTGAGTAATATATTAAAAAAAAATGTACCATAGAAGATGAGAATGAAAAATTGCATTATAGACCCAATTTTTGAGGGTTGTTGAAAAATTGCAGATTAGTTCTCACTATCTAGAGAACCTTGCTGTAATGGAAATTTTTAAATTTAAGCAGTGAATTTTGATAACAAAAAGTTATGCAAGAGAACTGTTGTTATATCAACTTATGAACCTTTTGCACAGAACTTTACCCTTGTTATGTTTGCGTCTACATTGTTGAATAGCAAGACTCATTGAATAAATTGGCAGGTCCCAAAGAGTTTCCTATAACAAATTCTTGGTGAAGACTGTGTCTCCAAGTTTGTCATACAAGAAATAGTTACTTCCAGTATGGCTGATTATGTAAAGAAGGCAAGCTATGGCGAGCAACCAGTCTTTACCTTCAGCTTTGACCCTAAAGCTCAAATTAAGTCTTTGTTTCTTTTTCTGAAACTGGAAAATCGGAATGTGAAAGAGAACAAGGTTAGCACAAGCCAAACAATGGAGGAGGTCAAAATTTCATTTACTCCTGGAAACAATTTTGGATTTAATGCAGTCCTGGAGATAGAAGAATCTGAAAACTATGTTGGAAATTGAACTTGAATTCATGAATGTTGGCAATTCATGAACCAAGATAAACATGAACCTAGTCATACATAAATCAAGTAATTCTTGTAACTAGTTAAATAGTAGATAACCTTTGCTGTTTTCAGGAGTCATTGAGTTAAATGTTTTCTGTCTAAATTCATCATTTGAATTAGTATAAATAGCTAGCTCAAATCCCATTTTAAGCAACTTTTGTACTACAATTTTGGACTTGACTGCTCTATTCACCATCGAAAACCTTTGTTAAGCTGAAAACCTATGTTTCAGGAGTTAGACTACATCGTGCAGGTGCATCATAAAGTTTCAAAAAGAGTTTTGTAAGTGAAAAGTAGGGCGTAAGATATTGGGACTCAGCTTATATGGAAGATGAACAAAGCATGAGAGTAAGCCAATAATAGATACTCAATATGTGGAGAAGGATCATGATTTCCGTCTTCAAAACGGAGTAGGTTGATATTAGACTATGAATTTGATGGTGACTTTGGGTCAATTATTTGCAATTTTGTCTAAGCCTTCCACGATGCAATATATATTCTAGGCTCAGCGTGAAGGACAAGTAGTTGCAAGCACTTCCATGTTACAGAGCTTCCATAGAGGCATCCCATACTCTGGCAGAGAATTGAAGTGTAAATATATATAGCATGCATAAATAAGGGAAAGTTACACAAATCTAAACAACATTTTCTATTCGAAATTCTTACTTTGCAAGAATTTCTTCTCCACATATTATTTCTTATTACTATTCTTAATTTATATATATAAATTTGTACTTTTAATGTTTAAAATTATTGAAATAGAAAGGAATTATAGAAAAGGCAGATGTGTATGTATTACAGAAATATTATGAGTTTTGATTTTCAATCCTTCATTGAGACAGATATATTTTGAGTTTCAAAATAAAGCAATTTATGCTTTTATTGAGGTTCAACACTGGAGCGCAGAATAAGCAAAACAGAAAGAGAATACGAGTCACTTAGTTGCAAGAAGAGTGGGGCGATAAGTGGATAGAAGCACGTCGATGAGGAGAGACTGTGACCATATAAAGAAGATAATTGGCAGAGCAGCCAATATAGTCACCGGAATGATGGTCGACTTCCTAAGCATCACCTTAGGACCAGGGACTGCATCTATGAGCATAATCAAGGCTGAGCTGGAGGCTACCAGCATGGTTGCTATGGAAAAAATTAAGGTGATAAGACCCAAAAGTAACCTCTTGGGCAAGGCCTTGAGAAAATCTTCTTCTGCGTAGCGTGAAGTGAGGATTCTCACGAATAGCAACAAAGAAGTAGAAGAAGAAAAGAGTGCAGCTGCATCCGCTATGACAAACACTTTGAAGAGTGTTTCGTGCCTAAAGTTTGGTATCCCCTTCTCGCTGTTTCCTGGCACGGCGATTATTGCTGCAAATACCATAGCAATGATCAGTGCATCCACAACCATACATGATGTAGCCGTGTCTCTCATCCATTTCTCCCCTTCCTTCACCAACGCCGTATGGTCGTCATCAAACACTTCTCTTGGAGTTTTTTTGTGTTCGTTTCGTTCTTCCAACAGTAATGGATGGACAAACTTTTCCACTGCCTGTGGGATAACAAGTCTCATGCAAGAAATTGGAACCTTTTCGTGGCAAAACAACTATTCCACCATGACAATGAAACAAAAAATATTTTGTTCAATTATTATGAAAAATGTTAAAGTATATGACAATTAATTCAACTGTTTCACTGTTCATAGTCTCAGCACCCTAATAACTTCAACAATGATGACGAAAATATTTTTCAAATAATGATCCAAACAATATAAAATGTTTTTAATAATTTATCTAAATAATAGAAAACATTAAATTTTCTTGTAAAATTTTCCCATAAAAAATTTTCTCAAATTATATTTTAGTTACCAAACGTACCTTTAGTAATTTTAGAAGTCCATCATCTGAAGCAAACCTTTGTGGTTGCATTTATTTAGAGGAATTTCTTTTTTAAATTTCACATATACACTAAAGATTTTATACAACAATTGTAGGTATAAATTCTATATTAAATTATTTCATTATAATTCATATAATATAGTTGATATTTCGTACAACACTTATTTTTTATTTTGTTTCTATAGATTTTTTTTTTCATTTTATGATCATAAATCATTTGATGTATTGTTTTTTAACTTAGAAAAAAGTTTAAATTTGTAAAATCAAGTGAAATTAATAAAAATATTAACCTTATTAGAACCTTGAAAACAAAGCCTCTTTTTATTTTTGATGCATGAAAAATAATAATAATAAAAATAATTCAAATTTTTTAATTCAGGAAAAAAAATAAACAAAGAAGGCATAATGCTTTTAAAAGATATCTAAATCATTTAAATAATTTAAATAAATCACTCCAACTTAATTTTGATCTTGACTAGGATTTACCAAAAAGTAATTTCCTTTTTTTTTTCTGTAAAAGTTTTGTAACTTTGATCCTGATTTGGATTCAAATGTTAGCTATATAATCCACTCCATGTCTACTAAAACGCCATTCTATTTTTTTTTCTTCTATCTTACATTGCTGCATAGAAGTTTAAGATACCAATGACAAATATTATTACCTTAATACCTGTTCCATGCTTTCAACTCATTCCCGTTTTT